GTGGCGCTAAGGTTTGATCAAATATTAAATAACGTAATTATCGAGACAAGGCTTATCTCGCAGGTGGAAAGAGTGCCCAACTCCCGTGAGAATAAGAATTTGACTGCTATTTTTAAAAAATCAATTAAGCTTGCGGGCTCTTTTGAAACCACCCTGGAGGACCGAGTGGCTCCCATCGTGGGGCTGAGTCCGCTGCAGCAATAATAACACAGACAAGCAGAACCAGACGGGGTAATCATTGTCGGCATCACCTTTACCACCCCGCTGGCCACCACGGCCCTTTGGATGGGGTGGGGAACACTGCTTTAGTCAGGGTCAGAATCACAATTCCAGCTTCACAGCCTAGATTATAAAAACCGGTCCACGTGAAAGATGGAGCAGGAATGCTTCGCTGCAGGGTTGGCGGGAGAGGCTCGGGCGACAGAGCCTGGGGCCAAGGGCGGGAGCTGCTCAGGTGAGTCCTACGGTGAGGGCGGCGCCCTGTCCTCTCTAGGCATAGCCACTTGTAGGAACGGGACCAGAATAGTTTTTCTCAAGAAAGTAAAAAAAAAAAAAATCAATGGATACAATCACGGCAGCGGTTGCCTACGGTTTAATTATGAGAGTGTAATAGAAATTGAGAGCAATTTCAGAACACGCATTAAACAAAAATGTATTCAGAAGTTAGTTGATGTGTCTTGAGGACATCATTTCTTAGACCTACAGAAGGAAAGGAGCAGGACCCGGACCTAGGACTGGGGAAGAGAGAAAATTCCTAACCGAAGGGATGGCACAAACATGGAGGTGCATTTTATGCCTATTTTTCTTTTGCCTTTCCTACTCCTCCACCACCTAGATTTCCTGAGAAGCCCAACGGAGAACAAGTCCCTACTCTCTCCAACTTAGAGATTGTTCTTTAAAAGAACCGAAGTATTTCCACCTGACTGGTGCCTTTAATGCGTTTAGAGTAAAATTCCGCTCTTCAGAACCAAAAAACTTTGAAAGGCCAACTATTGCTGCGTGCCAAACCTTTGCATTTCCTTCAGGTGGACATTTGTTTGTTTGCTTGTTTGTCTGTTTGTTTCTTCACGAACTGACAGTTAAACTTGTCTTAGAATAGTCTTATTATTTCTGCCGGCGGTACACAGATTCACTCGCCAGATAGCAAAGCATATCTTGTTTTGCACAGTTTCCTACTACAGAAAATAGGAAACTCTGCAAAGCATGTATTTTCATAATCTGTTTTATTAACATAATATTGTCTTCTTTTCATTTGGTGAGGGTTTTACTTAATACAAAACAAATGCTTAAGTTCTTATTACATACATTGGTCATCATTATATAATACAAATGTATTTGCAACATTTCGTTTGGGGCAGATTTTTTTAAAGCAGCCTTTGTAAATCTTTTCATCTGTTCATTCCTGGTTCTCCAACAATGAAATCGGTCATACTTTTCTATAAAATAACATGTTTTCTTTACAAATGCATTTTATTAAAAACTTTGATGACATTTCAAGTCAATAACAGAAAGAGATCAGTTTTGATGGAAGAGACCTATTTTTAAAAATACCTCTAAGTGCTTTTTTAAAACATTAACAACTTTAAAATCACAGCTTTTTCAATGTACTATTCTTTGTTGAACATCAAATGCTTTGTTTCACAGATTTGCCGGTGAAATTAAAAAGATTTGGCTAAAATAGGATGACTTCAGAAGATATAACCCCAGCTATTAAGAAACTTTGTACATTTGGCATCTGATCTAGTCCCAGGTCACCAAAAAATAAAGAATCTCTGGTTCCTCTGGAGCAGTAGGTGGCACACTAAATGTTCCAAATGAACAGAGGCATTTGTCATGAGGGTGGGACAGATTAGTGGGTGGTTTTTGTATTAACTTCCAAAAAAAGGTCATTTAGTTACAATACTTTTAAAGAAATGTTTTTAGGCTAGAACAAAACATATAAACCTCCAAATGCCTCTGTCCCTGAACCTTGATTTAAATATTTTGGGGGTGCTTGGATATTTATTAGCTTCCACCACTCTGAAGGGGGGGACGGGCTGTGGTTTAAGAATTCCTGTAGTTAAAGAAAACTTTGATAAACACAGGCAACTAATATAGAATTCATTTTATTCAGAGCACCACTTTTCACATGAGTTGTCTGAAAGTGAATTCTGATTCAGCAGAAAAATACATCATTCTCACCCTTTCCCCTGTATTTTTGGTTGAATTGAGTTTCATTTGCTGACCGGCTCTACCAGGATTTGGCCTAGTATAGACACAAAAATGCACCCAAATCATAAAACTGCTCTTCTTTCAGTTATGTTTTATTTGTAAGTGTACTGGGACACATCCCCCTGTTGTATTTTGGCGCACATAAATGGTTCTGATAGAAGTGGGAAGGAGAAATGGTAATAGAGCAGACATAACCAAGGAGAAAGCTCAGCAGACATACATGGACAGGTATAACACTGGCAGTCTGTAACCACTGTGTGAGTGTGTGCATTAAAGAAAATATTTACAATAATCTTCCTGTTTTACCTTTTTTTTTTTCTAAATACAAGAATACGACAAGAATGCTGTGTTTTCGGTGAAAACAGGCAGTAGACTGTGAAATCACACTATCCACAAAACGGTCTATCAGAAAGCTAGCCCAGTTTAGTGCTCAGTTTCAAATGCATAGAATGTTTGCGCTGCAAACAATGATATACAATGTAATTAAATAAATAATGCCTAACCAGAGTGAGACCTAATTGTGTTTCTTTCTGCACTTTTCAGGTCATGCATGATTTCAGTCTTGTTAAATGGCAGGGTTTGTTTTTTTTTTCCTTTTCTTTCCACATTTGTTTTCAATTTTTTAAGTTCTTGTTAAAGGATGGTAATAAACCATCCCCACATGAGATCAAAAGAGTATCTTGTGCACCAAGCAAGCATTTTACCTAACCACCTTCAACTGTCTTTCTCATTTTTTAATCCATCAGCAGTTCATAAAGTACCTTGATTATAACTATGAAATACTATACACGGTTTTCTATTTGGGAGACTGGTAGTGCAAATTAAAGTTCTTGCTACCCAACATTTGTCCCCAGCAATAAATTACCTTTGAATAATAATAATAATGAAACACAGTTGTTCTGCTTCCCCCCCTCCCAACATGCAGACCCTTTTGAAACAAATGGAGGACTTTAACTCTGTCTTCCTCTCATTTGGGATTTAGTTGATTTTTCCCCACAGCCAAGTCCTGCTCCAACTGAAAGCAAAAACTTCTCAATATTTCAACCATTTCATGTTCTCCAAGAGAGAAGAAAAGGGTACCTAGAAGAGCTAGATGAGTCTTGTTCTGTGGAGTAAAAGGGACACAGTATCTCTCCTATTGTTTTCCATCCCATGAATCTATTTGAATCAATAGGAAATAAAATTCAGTAGGTAGTTTTAAATAAACTACACTCAGAAAAATAAGTGAAAGTGAAAGGGCAAGCAAGTTCTATGGAGGGGGGTGGCACTGGTTTTGAAATAGTCTGTTTCTAGATCTTAGATATAAGAGCAAAAATGAAAAGGAAAAGAACTTGTCAAAATTGTTTTATTCTTCTAGAATAAAATATTTCTTTCGGAGCTCCATAAATTCTGCCTTTTAGTCAGCTCAAATACTACCTCTCTCTCCCTAAACACCCCCACCCGAATGGGCCCAGGCCACAGGAATACAGGCTAAGTCAGTGGAAAACTTGGACTCCACCTAAACAGGCCATAATACCCCAGCCCCCTTTCAGCTGTTCCCCCTCTCACTTTCTGGTAATGGAGAGCAGCCATCCATTCTCTTTGGAATGCAAAAAATAATCAAAGAGAACGTGGGTGGGGTAGAGGTGAGACTGAGAGGGGAAAATTAAATTAAATACACAGAACAACTAGCTTAGCTACCCACAATCTCACCTTCCAGTTCATTTGGCTTTCGTTTTTCAGTTCATTTGTGAAGGGTTGGGTCAGTGGTAATAATGGTGGTGCTCTTGTTTTCTCTTCCTTAGGGGGGGATTGAAGCTGCAGAATATGGCTCCCTGGAGTTAAATTTCTAACGCATATTTTATTTGCTTTTGTTCTGCTTTGTTTTAGTTTGCTTTTATTTGTTTAGCTTTTTTGGTGGTTGGTAGGTTTGTTTTTGTACATAGTTCCTTGGTCCCCAGGAGATTTTGATAAATGTCTCTGGTCCAAAACAGTCCATTTCTCTACCCTTCCAGTCTCCCCCCACCCTAACCCCCAGAACCATCCTGCTCCTCAAAACCCCTCCTCCAGGCTCCGCTTTCTTTCCCCCTCAGCTACCAGCTCACCCCAATGCTCCCTCTCCGACGTCCACACCCAGCACCCCAGTGCTCCGGGCTGGGAGAGGGTGAGGGCAAGGAGAGCACAAGGGAAGGAGGGGGCGAAAGAGAGCGCTGGAGGACGGATTCGCCAAACGCAGGCAGGATAACGGACACGCCAGATCCGGGGGGAAGCGGCCCGGGAAAGCCCCGAAAAGCCCCGAAAGGCCCCTTCAGCTCCCTGCTCTGCCCCTCCTCCCGCTCCCACCCGCCCCACCCCCCTCAGTAAGTGGCGGAGAATTTCATCCGCTTCTGCTTCTGTCTCTGGTTGCAAAACCACACCCGCACCACGTTCTTTTTGAGGTCCAGTTTCTCGGCGATGGCGGCGATCTTCTCCGAGGAGGGCCGCGGCTGCACGGCGAAGTAGGCCTCGAGGGAGCGCTTCTCGGGCGCGGCGATGGAAGTCCGCTTGCGCTTCTTCTCGCCTCCGTTGAAGAGCTCAGGCTTGTTCATTTTCTCGCGCTGCGCGCCCTCGGCCTCCTCGAGCCACGCCTGGAGGATGGGCTTGAGCGCGATCATGTTGTTGTGGGAGAGCGTGAGCGACTCGAACCTGCAGATGGTGCTCTGGCTGAGCGAGCCCACGCCCGGGATCTTGAGGTTGGCCAGCGCCGAGCCCACGTCGGCCTGCGTCACGCCCAGCTTGATGCGCCGCT